ATCTAAGAGCATGATCATTCTTTGTTGTTTCAGGGACAGTTGTAAAGGCCTTATACCTCTCTACTTGGGATCAGCATGGGCCTACTTCTCCCTGATGCTGGAAGATAGAAATGGCTGAGGGAGATGAGCTTGAACTAGCACTTCTTGTGGTCCACTTCTTGGCTTCTAAATGATGCATAGTCAGGATCAAGGAGTCAGTGATTTGAAGAGGAGTGGTAGAATTCAAGGCACATGCACCAGGACAAGAAAGCTATAGATTTTTATTCATAACTGGAGGGAAATAGCAAAGTTTATGGATTTGTGGTCATAAGCAGTGGGTTCCAGTGCACCGTCTCTCTCTCTCTCTCTCTCATTCACAAAAAAACAAAATAAACCAAAAAGTGAACCAGCCATACTTGATACATATTTGAATTTAATTAGTGCCATTGAACTTCCTTGTCAGGGACAAGATTAGATGAGCCACTCTGAAGTGGAGACTCAGGAGGCAAGTTATCACTTGAAAATTTCAGGGAAGGATTCTGTTTGTTCCTAGTTGGATTATATGTTTCCCTTTAAGAACCAAGTGTATGAGGTGCTATAACTGGACCAAAGATGATACTCCCTGTGGCTAGTGGTTACTGAAGACATGGTATGTTTGGGGAGAAGGGTACTGAGCAGATAATGGGCCCCTGTGTATCCACTGCATCCTGAATGGGCACATCCTTTAGTTCACTTTAAAGGTATTTTCACCTTGGAGCCATTCTCTTGCATGGTATGTAATCCAGTTATTTCATACCAATAAAGCTCAGCAAGCTTTATCTTTGCTTAGGGCAATGTTTGACCTCCTCTTTGACCTGTTATCCTCATAAAGGACCTAGGATATATGAGGTGGGGTTAATGCATGCAAAGGAATGGTCAGGCATTACAAGGTGGTGGGTTACTAATAGAGATGTCTCTAATTAATCATGCTCACTTTCAGATGGGAAGAGGGCAAACAATGACCAAGGACATGCCAGCATGGGCCTGTTTGTACTGCTTCCAGTTGTCATGTGAGCAGCTGGCGATTAGGAGCTCATCCCTTGTCAGTGAGCACAAAGCTCAGTTAAGTGTTTTTTGGGGGGTGAGGGTCCAGAGGGTCTTAAGAGAGAACTGCAGTGTTCCTCTGCCACTTACTCAGGTTGCATTTCAGGATCAGTGGGTCTGTGTGGGAACCTGCATTAGGTCTCCTAGAGCTTAACAGAGCTCAGATTTGTGTTTAGGCAAAGCCAAAATCTTAGAGGAAGGGGCAAACAATTCAATCTGGCTCCTGATTGACTACACTAACTACATCAGGCTGAGGGGCAGGGGTGGCTGTGGGCAGAAGAGATGTAGCCTACTTATGAAGCTCAAGCAAATGGGCAGGGACCTTTCAGGCCTTCCTATCTATACTGAAAGGAGATTCCTGTGCCATGCTACATACTGAGTAGCAGTGAGGTTCAATGCAAATTATGTGACAACCAAAGGTCAGAGTCAAATGTGTTTTAGCTCTCAGAGCTGCCTGCCAATTGAGATTGGCCCTATCAAAACTGTGACATTTCTTCTTTCTAGGCTGCAGTCTCCTTTCTGGGCCACACTGGTTTCACCACCAAACAGCTGATCTCTACCATGTGGTTCTAGATGTCTTTGATTATTGAGGGACTGTTGGTGAATTACGCTTGTTAAAGAAATGTCAAGCTACCCACTCTCTGCTTGCCCCTAATACTAACAAATGATTATAACTTTTCTCATAGTCTCTAAGTTAGGTAGAAATATTTTCCTTGAATTCTGCCTCTTCAGCTCACCACAGCTCCAAGTTCTACAGGTCAGTTCTACCAGATTCTGTCCAAGTCATTTATAAAACATTGCATGGGAATCATTATAACTGAATCTTTACTGAGACTTTGTTGTAATCAAACACCACTTTCTCTTTAGTTACTTATGTTTGACCAGTGTATTTTCCTTTCATTCTCTATAATCTCCCTTTTTAATTTTCATTAATTTCCAGATTTTTAGCTTCATGTGTTTGATTATTGGGCCTATAATATTGTATTATTGTTCAAAATATTTGCTGCTCCTCCCTAGGGTAGAATTGTATTTCCCTAGTGTTTCAGTCCATTGGGCTGATATAACAAAATGCCATAGACTGGTTAGTTTATAAAGAATAGTTTTATTTCTCATATGTGTGGAGCCTGGGAAGTCCAGGATCAAGCCACCAGCAGGTTCAAGTGTATGAGGGTTGCTTTTGGCTTCTAAGATGGCACCTCATTTCTGCATCTTTGGCAGAGAGGAATGCTGTGTCCTCCCATGGCAGAAGATGGAAGGGCACGTGAGAAGAAGGCTGTGTGAAATTTCTTCTATAAAGGTCACATTCACAAAAGACAAACCCTCCAAATTGTCACTTCTTTCATTTGCAGGTTCCTCACCCATTCCTACCTCTTGAGGTGTCCTGAAGAACAGAAATAACATATGCCGACTGTCACCATATACCTCCTGGCACACTGTGACTCTTAGAATCTGGAAAGCCTGCAGGTGAGTACTGGATAGGCTGACTGGCAGGGTGGGAGCTGGCAGGCTTACTGCTGACTCTTGAGTTTTTGCTGGAGATCAGACCTTTCTGATCTAGGGGCAGTGACACACAAACTCTGATGAAGAAAACCTGGGCTTGAGCGTGAGCAGGAGTAGGAATCCCTAAAATGATCCCATTCAATTCAAAACCAAATGACACCATCAGTATTGAGACATTTATTTTGCATAATTAGCTTCCTAGGTGTCATTTTAGTAAAACAAGTTCAGAATTCATTCTTTAAAAATTTAAAAGTTTTCAGTGAAAGTAAATATTTAATATATTTTACATATGATAATTTTATTAACTTAAATATCAAGTAAAAACAAAAGTCATAGATATAAATGGTAAGCATGCATTATCATTTCTGATACAATCTATGCCCTGCTCCTGGCTCTGCTATTTGCTTTCCTTCAGTTCCCACCCTACCCCTGCATCCCTTGGAGCTGCTGCCTTTGAAGTCACTGGCCCACCAAGACTTCAGCCCTGCTTTAGTTTGGCCCCTTGAGTAGAGCTCTCAGGGCAACCATATCTATAACTCTTGCTGGCTAGTACCTTCCATTGTAGCAGTATGATTGCTCCCCTATTGACCAGGAAGGATGGGTCCACCTGGAATCTCGCTTTTCTCTTTCCTAGGAGAGAGATCCAGCTCCTTCCACCAAATCCTGCTAAGCCATTGGGTTTGGGGTTGGGGGTTGAGGATCTGAAGGATTAACAAAAGTTCAATGACAAAGAGGTGCTGGGAGAACTTGTGGTGTGGGTGTCAGTGATGGGTAGATGATAGGTAGGGTACAGGTGGGGTTGGAATTGGAAAGAGAACCAAATTAACTCATGTCCAAGACCCCAGGTGGACCTATCTCTCCTGGTTAGTGGGGGAGAATCATACTGCTACAACTGGAGGTACTGGCCAGGGAGTATCATAGATACATAGATATGGTTGCCTTGAGAGCTCCCTCCTCTCCGGAGGCCAAAGTAAGAAAGGAAGGGCTGAAGTCTTGATATCCAAAATAACATTATAACACCATTATTGCCACAAAGAGGACTCTTTGTCCTTTACATGTTTTTTTTTTTTTTTTACATGAAGTAGCAGGTTACACCAAACATTGAAAACTGGTATTACAATTCCTCACAACTGTTACTTATAAAAGGTGTAATCTCTGAAGACCTAATCTAGTCATGATTCCTATTGCTTCTTCCTTGTTAATCCTCAAGATTCCTGTAGTCTGGACTTCAGCCTGAAGGACATAAGCTAACTTTGGGAAGAGGAGGAAGGGAGGCAAAGAGAAAGGAAGAAGATGAGGGTAGCTGAGCTAGCCATGTCCATGTGCAGGCTTCCCTGCGGGCTGCGCCTGGCAACCCTCCTCGCCAGCACAGACGGAAAAACTGATTGAAGGGGGAGCAGGGAATTTTTATGATGCTGAAAGATTTCCCGAAGGCGGGTGTTTTTGCTTCCTGGACAGCCTATACTTGGAGGGTAGGCAGAGAGATGGACTTGCTGTCATTTGCTCTGTCCCTGTGGTGAAATTGGCCTGGCAGGGACTGAGAATGCATTAAGGTGGTTCCCTAGTTTCATTAGCTTCCTACAAGTTGAAATCCTCATTTCTCTGAGCATGTTGCCCTTTAATTATTATGGTTTCCAGAGACACTGCCTTCGGCTTTACCCAATACAAAACAATTTGGTTACATGCCACAAAGAGGATTCCAACAGTGCATATAAGATCTCTAATTCCCTGAAATTGATATGCTTTTCTTCTTATTACTGCTATTCCCACACATGCCTGTGACATGAATTTGAAATGTGCTATTCATATAAAGACTGCTCACTGTTTCACATCATCCTAACAATGGGTGAAAGCATTTAAGCCATCCCTTTTAGTGCAAAAGACAGAGAGCTACAGTAAGCCACTATAATTCTCTTTGAATGTTTTTTGTCATGACACAGTCTGCCATACATGAGACCAAGATGAAATGCCATTTCAGCTGACTCTGTGACTCTGTGTGAGTATGTGTATTAAGGCACCTATTTAACACATAACCACAGGCCAACATGCCTTTATCGAAGCACATGGATATCATTATTGCAATTGCATTTTGGCTTGGAAGGAAATACAGCCGTTAACCACCTGAAGTCTCAGTAGACAAAAAAGGACATCATAAAGTTTTACAACTGTGGGACAGAAGATTGCAAAATCTAAGATCCATTATAAAAATTAGGAACAAAGTTATGTTGCATACTTGAATAGTTTTGTCACAGGGTTGATAACTAGAGCTTAGTTATTACCTGTGACTAAAATATTCCATTTCCACTAAGAAGTAGAGTAAAAATTGGAAAAACATAAGTTGCTGTATCTTTGATCCCAATCCCACTGTATTCAGACAATAAAAACAGAATTTCTCACAAGCCTTCAATATATCAAAACAATGTGCTGGGATTACTTACATTTTGAATTTGTATTGCCAGCCTTTTGCTGGCAACAAAGATAACCATCCTGAAGATACATGTGTGTCAGTTTCTCTCCTGATCAGGTGTTCCATCAGACTCATTCTAACAGAGCAAATCCGGTTCAGGTCCTGGAAGATGAAAACATTTTAACCATTAAATTATAAACTTAAAGGTTATAAATTTATAACCTTTATAAATTTAGTTCCTCTGGGAATCAAGTTGAGATGCAGAAATCCTGAATGAAACCAAATGCTTTGGGTGACAATTTGGGTTGGTTCATATTAAGGCTGACTCTCTTGAGGGCTGTAGATACCATAAAGGAAGCCTTCTCTACTGTGTTCAGCTACTGTATTCAAGGTACTGAATAACTCTTAATGTTTCTAGGGTTTCCTAAATGGCCTAAAAACAAAGTGAACAGAAGAGGCAATATATTTCACTTAACTAATGTAACATTTCTAAAGCTATTTCTTTTCAAATAGCTCATGAAAGGACTTGGTCAGAATTTTGGCGGCAAAAGAAATAATACTCAAACAGAAATCCATCAAGTGCCTTTAGGTTTCCAGACCTTGAGTATATTAAGAATGAAACACCATCCTGGATGCTATAACCTTTACAGGTCTGTATTTCTTCTCTAATAAATAAATAAATAAATAAAAAGAACAAAGTCACCACTCTCTTTGGACAACAGGAGGAAAACTCAGAAGAAACTCAACACTCTTTTTCAGTCAGAAATACCTGATGTCATTTATTTTGTTTAATCAAGACTGAGTTGGCCATATACTAAGCCAATTTAAGAATGTGATCTGTAACTCACAGTCTTAATTACATGGAGAAAAAGTGAATGGGTTCATTAGTGCAGTGAAAAGGAACAGTGACCCTACCTGCCAAGTGGCAAGGTGGAAATAATTAATCTGGTCAATTAAAAAGAAACAGATAATTTAAAATGCAAAGGCCACCAGGTGGTGCATGGCAGTCTGCTCTCTGGAACTGCAAATTTTTACTGTCAGTTCTGATTTTCTCAATACATCTCCCCATTCTTTTCTTTTTTAAAAAAATGTGTTTGCCATGGCTGAAATCTACTAGAGAAACCCTTCTGAGCTATAAATTATGACCTGTTTCTTTATGTCTCATGTTCTAAAATATTTACTTATTCTAACATGTACTCTAGAAATGCTCCAGGGGCTTACCAATCCCCTGAACCATAGCCAGAGTTCTTTTCTCTCTTTGTCGGGATCTGTTATATCTTACTTTCCCTTCAAAATTGTTTGCTTTTTTTCCTGGGGGTTTTAATAATATTTTAAAAGTGCTGGAGTCTGAGCCACACTGTCTGGCTTATCTAATCCCATTTATGATCCTATAACCCTGAAACTTGCCAAGGCCTGGCTGTCAGCACCAGATTCTAAATACATAGGGTGGTGTGTTTGCTCCATGGAACAGGAAATTAGTCAAACAGTTACTTTTCTACAAATGTTCATAATTTCTCATGACATTTACAAGGCAGTAGTAGTTCTTAGATGCAGAATGATCTCAGAACATGTCAGGGAGCAGTGAGAGGTTATCGACAATGAAGCCTGGTACAGGTAATTGCACAGACCCACAGCTTGGTGATATCCCTGCAGAAAACCTGCCCCCTCTGCCACCCAGCACTGTTCAGCAAGCAAGGTCCAGCTATCTAAGCTGCAGGTCTGCAGAAAGGAAAACATACCAATATCTTAATCCTTTTCCTCTAATGCAAGCTCAGCCCCGGGACAGATATTAATATCATTTTCCTCTTAACCATAGTAAAAGTCTTAAAACGCAGCACTCACGTTTTTTATTCTGCTCAAAGGAAGTTTTTTTTATGGTGAGAGGGTGGCTGTAAAGGAGGAAAAAATCTCATCTACAAAAACAAATGCTGCCGAGGTGAAATGCAAGTTGAAAGTTTCTATTTCCGAGGTGTTAGACTTGGCAAGTTAGAGTTGTGAGGGTGGAGAAAAGATGCTTTCCATGGACATGCTCAGACACAGTAGTACATATTGTCAGCTCTGCAGGAGGCGCACTGTGGCCATATGTGTGTCGCAGAGCGAAATGGAATAAACAGCTGCCACCAGAAATCCAATTCCTGGCAAAGAGGCAAACCCAAGCCCTCCTGTTTCCAAAATAAAAATCACCAGAGGGATTCCCCTACCTGCAGTTCCAGCCAGTAGTTTTATAAAAGCATAAAACATCGCTGTATTGTGGTTTATAATAATCCCTTACATTTGTAGAGCATTTTACAGTTTACAAACACTTTATGTACATTATCTCATTTGATCCTCATAACAGCCCTGGAGAGTACAAAGCACAGATATTGTGATTTGCTTTTCACAGATGGAGAAAGGAAGGTTGAGAGAATGATGTGATGAGCTGGGTGCCCCAGCCCAGGCCTCGTCAGGCCTAGCCTAGAGTTGTACATGCAGAGACCTCCTGGGCCTCCACTGGGGAACAGGAGACCCAAGAAAGGGATCCATTTCTGTGTAGTTGAAGTTCAAGCACAACTTCACTTGGCTTTCTTTTCCTTTGTGCAAGCATCAGCTCACTCTGCCATAGGTCTTCTCCTGCACTTTTTGAAGCAGCAAGGGAGGAAAGCAAGTTGGAGGGGGAAAGGCACTTAGCATCGTGAGTGCAGAATCTGGTTTGCAAAAGGCATTTCATTGTCAGCACACACTTCAAAGCTGGCATTTCATTGTCAGCACACACTTCAGAGATCAGCCAAGGACACCTCAGAACTGCTGGGAGGAAAGCACTTGGATATTGTTCAATTGCTCTCAGATGCTGCCACCTTTAGTAAATGTTTGCAGAGAAACAGGCTCTTCTCCTAGAACTTCAGGCTTGTGCCCATGGATTGGCAAGATCATTTACAGAAAGGCTCTGCAGAGCCTTATACTTAGAAATCCATCCCGACCTCAGGAGCTGGGAGGATCCTGATGCAGACTTGTCCTGTCCTGTGAGATAGAGCACACCATGGGTAGGTTCTGTGGCATCCTGTCATGGACTGCTTTAGCTTTGAAACAAGGAACCATCTTCCAGGAAAGATTTGAAGACTTCTCTTAATGTGTAACTGGTTACCTAATCCTGTCTCACTGGACTGCCACTACCTTGGAATTTTGTGTTCTTTGGTTCTAGCTACAGAATCTGGTGGCACAACCTCGTGGCTAAAATACCCAAACTAGTCGGGTATGGTGGTTCATGCCTGTGATCCCAGCAGCTCAGGAGTCTGAGGCAGAAGATCATGAGTTCAAAGCCAGCCTCAGCAACTTAGCAAAGCTCTAAGCAACCCACTGAAACCCTGTCTCTAAATAAAAACTTTTTTAAAAGGAGCTGGGATATGGCTCAGTGTTTAAACTCCCCTGGGTTCAGTTCCTGGTATCAAATAAAAATAAAATAAAATATAGATACTAGAATCAAACTGTCTATGCTCTCTGATCACCAGCTCTGTGAGTTGGAACAAGTTCACTTAGATTTTCTATGGTGCCAGTGGTATTCTTGAAAACAATGGGATATTAATAAAACTCTGTTTCACAGGTTGCTGTGAAAGAATTAAACTTCCTTTTTTGTAAAGTGCCTAGAGTAGTGTCTGGTGAGAGCCAAGTGCTTTGCTAACTCAGTAAGGCTGCAGAAGCCCATCCCCAGCCAGCCTCTTCCTGACCCCTGAGAATGCTCCAGTTCCTGAGAGTGTGACATCACTCCTTCCTATACCTTCCCAGGTTTCCCTCAGGAAGATGTATACACCAAGAAGCACATTGCCTCATGCAAATTCTTCATGATCTTTTCATGCTACAAAGCAACCAGAGTTTGCAGGAACACAACACATTTTGGTCCAATGTATTTACATTATAGCTGTCAAAGTAAAACTTGCACCAGGCAAGGTTAAACAGGTGTGAAGGTTTTATTCAAGGTCCTTGTAATACAGGACAGAGGCCAGAACTCAGTGTGAATTCAACTTCACTGAAACAAAGGGTACAGAATTTTAAAAGACAGGGTGAGAGGGATATCAAGCCTTCTGTTTGCAAAGTGGCTTTAACCAAGGGAAAGTAATCTTCTCAGAGCTTTCACAGATGGTTGTTCCACAGCTTGAAGGAAGGTGCCCCTGAAGTTAGGCTCCTGTTATCCCTCTGGATGTTATGGGGCTCAGCTGAGGGTGCTATCTCCTGAGATGGCATCCAGGTCCTTGAGAAAGACATTGTTTATAAAACTGGCAACAGACTTTTAAAAAGGTGTATGCATATCTCAGGCTGTTGATACAATACTTACCTAACACATATGAGGCCCTGGGATCAACCCTGGTGTCTCTCTCTCTCTCTCTCTCTCTCTCTCTCTCTCTCTCTCTCTCTCTCTCACACACACACACACACACACCATTTACACATATTTCAAAGGGGAAGAGAACAAATTTAAAACTGAAAGTTTTGTTTAAGAAAATAATGCTCCTGGAATAGTTGGGAAGAAGCCTGTCTGAAGTTCAGTCATGCAGATTCAAGGCCATCTTGGTCCCTGGTGCTCCAGAAGCTGGATGGCTATTTGATACAGAATACCCCTCCCCCAGAATTCCTCTGTAGGTGAACAGGAGCAGGGCAGAGTCCCTGCTCGGTCATGATAGTGGCCCAGGCTCCTTTGGTTTCCCTGGTGTCCATTTGCAGCTCTTTCCTTTCAGTTCCACTCTCCGTGACTCATGGAGGAAGGAGTCAGCTTCATTTTGCTTTCTGTCTTGAGTTCTCTGAGTCCTGGCCCACTTGATAAGCTGATGTCTCTCCCCTGGACCAGAGACAGACACTCTGTCACTTGAGTCCAAACAAAGTCCTGTGATTTTGGAAAAAACTACATAGCAGAGGAAAAGTCAGGACCCTAGTTAATTTGGACTTTGTCCTGGACCTTTAAATGGGTGCACCGCTCACAGGAAGAAGACCCCTTTGTGGATTCCCACTCCTAGCCAAGGTTACAACTAGTTCTTCAGCCCTCAGGCACACACCTATTTCCTTCAGGAAAATTCCATTCCCCACTATCCCCAGTTATTTGGCTTGCAGAAGCCATCTGGGACTCCTGAAAGTTAAGTTAGTGGTTACTGAAGCCCGTTGCTGTTACACCTATGTGAGGGAGGAGGGGGCTCCTTGTTGCAAGGCACAGGGCAGGCCCCAAGTCTACTTACTGGTGAGGTTTACTTTTCAGTATTTCCACCAGGGTGGGCTACAGAAATGATCACTTCCTCACCTCTTAAGCCACATCTTCCAGTCTCATCCAATGACCACATTAATTTTTAGAGATGATGCAGTTTAGAAGTATTTCCCAAATTTGTAAGGTGTGTTTTCTCTTCCCTCTCTCATTTCTATCTCTCTTCCTGTTTCCCTTCAGGCAATAAGCCCTGTTTTCATATAGAACAATGTTTGGTTTCTTCTGTTCTACCCTAAAAGAGGGTTTGAGAAAAGAGGAGAATTTCTGGAATAATAAATGGGCTCATTACCCAGGGGTCTCCCCTGACACGCTGATCCTCCTCTGAGATCTGGTGCATGTGGATGGGGTAGGGAAGTTGTCGATTCTTGCTGTAGCTCCTAGACTTTTGGCTATAGAAAATATTCAGAGTTGTAGTTAAAATACATTTTATTTATTCAAAGAAATCCTTAAAGCAGATCCTGACCTGCAGAAGACTAAGCATGAAGAGTCCACAGAGGTTTGAGCAAGATGAAGTAAACACTGGCGGTCTCTCTGTTGTTGGCCACACACAAGACTTTATGAGGGTCAACGTGGCCTGCTCAGAACAGCATGAGTTTACATTAATCTTTGCCCCAGGCAAACCTTTAAGAAGGACTCAATTGCTTTGAATATTAATTCTAAATGGTAGTGCATTCTTAGAGCACCCATAGTAAAAAGAGCAGGAGACTCTGAACATTTGAGGAAGAGACATTTGCACATATACTGGACTATCTGTGCAAGACACAGACTCTGACCTGTAGCAAAAGGAACAGTCTCCCAAGAAGAGGCCCACAGGTTCAGCATGGAACATGTGGGAAAACAGACTTGACTCAGTCAGCCATGGCTGAGCATGTTGAAGGGTTAACCACACAGCAGCAATGTAGGAGATTTATGCAGAAATAGGAACAGTCTCACAGAGATATCCAGCCAAACCAGCTACATAAATTTTGAAGCCCAGTGCAAAATGTAAATGCAGACACTCTTGTTCATAAATTAATAGGGATTTCAAAATGGCAATAGGAGAGGATTAAACCAAGCCTAGAGACCTCTTGTGTGCAGAGTCCTGTGTGACTGCACCAGTCCCTGGCCACGAGGTCCCCACAATCTCCACAGAATGAATCCAAATGTGTAGGTCTACCATCCCAAAGGCTGGCTTGAACTCATGATCTTCTGCCTCAGACTCCTGAGCTGCTGGGATCACAGGCATGAACCACCATGCCCGACTAGTTTTGGTATTTTAGCCACGAGGTTATGCCACCAGATTCTGTAGCTAGAATCAAAGAACACAAAATTCCAAGGTAGTGGCAGTCCAGTGAGACAGGATTAGGTAACCAGTTACACATTAAGAGAAGTCTTCAAATCTTTCCTGGAAGATGGTTCCTTGTTTCAAAGCTAAAGCAGTCCATGACAGGATGCCATAGAACCTACCCATGGTGTGCTCTATCTCACAGGACAGGACAAGTCTGCATCAGGATCCTCCCAGCTCCTGAGGTCGGGATGGATTTCTAAGTATAAGGCTCTGCAGAGCCTTTCTGTAAATGATCTTGCCAATCCATGGGCACAAGCCTGAAGTTCTAGGAGAAGAGCCTGTTTCTCTGCAAACATTTACTAAAGGTGGCAGCATCTGAGAGCAATTGAACAATATCCAAGTGCTTTCCTCCCAGCAGTTCTGAGGTGTCCTTGGCTGATCTCTGAAGTGTGTGCTGACAATGAAATGCCAGCTTTGACTGCCTTTTGCAAACCAGATTCTGCACT